CCCGGCGGGGGGGGGGGAGAGGGACCTTTTGGACATTTCCATCCTTTTCCAGACCTAATGCAGCCTGTGCCAGCTGCTGGGTGTGAAATTTTGACTCCCACACCTGTGAAAATTGCTCAGTCCCAGTTTTCAAGTTGATGAGGTACCAATGGGAAGGAAGGGGTATAGATTGAAGCTGAGGTCACACTAGAGAAATGTCTCCCTCTTTTTTCATGCCTTATGCTTCCTGTAGAGTCACATGTTGCAGTCATGTGACATAATCCCATAATAGTGGTTCATAATTTTTTTTACCATTCTGCATTTTTTAGTTAAATTAGATGTGGTGTGTTCATCTGCAACCCTGCAGTGAGACATATCCCTTCCTCTTTTTTTGTGTTTCTCTGCCCCCTCCCCTATTTTTTTTTTAAAAAATGTACAGGTACATTGGTGTGTCAGCAAAACATCCTTGCTGGCCACATACTGATCTGGGGCATGTTTTCCTGTTTCCATGCTGCATTACTCTCAGTGGTGGAGAACCTACAGCCCTTTTGACAGAAACATACAAACATGCCAACATTCTCGTTTGAAAATAATTTTTTTTAAAATTGAGAAAATCGAACTACAGCAGGTGGTGGTGGGACTGCACACCAGATGTAAAGGAAATGAAGTGTTTTTGTAATACACATGATATGGAATGTCGGTTGTACTATGTGATAAAACATGGAACAAATATAGTAGTAGTCTCCCAGAGGGCTGGATTTGATGCTTATATAGCACGGAGGGGGAACAAAAGAATCTGCAATGGTCGTGAACCCAAAAAAAGGCTGAAACTCACAAAGACTAATGTGGAAACATTTTGCTCGTGTGACCGCAGCTCAGCACTAATGAGCCAAAGGCAGTGGGAGCATAAGCATGCAAAGAGCTTACTCTGGGCAATGGCAAAAATACAAAACCAGCTGCACATCCTTGCACATGCTTTCCTCCTGTAGCACATCTTGTCTCTGCTCTTTTGCTCCAATATGCAGATAGAAGCTATGACCTTTGGCAGGTGATTTATTAGTAGTAAAAACATCCACCTGCTATAAAACAACTCCATCAGCAAAAAAGACAAAGAAAATTGCCTAAATCATGGCAGCACATTGCAGCTAATTAATGAGGCACTAGTTGTGTGGCTGATTTCATGACAGTTATGCAACCACCACCTTGCTAATCAATTCTCAGCTATTACACAATTCACTGAATTCTCAAGCAAAATATTTCCAATGTTTATTTTATGTAGTATTTTAGTGACTTAATTTTGCAAACCATATATTCAAAATCAATTTTGAAAAGGAGATTTTAGATATACGACTCTTTTGCAATATGGCATAACTCACCTATAACAAATTGTTCAAAATTCAGAGGCCTGAAACTCTTTATAAAGTTACCAATAAATTAATACCAGGCATGAATACTTTTAATTCCAATAAACTGGTGTGTAACAAAGCAGTGGGAAATGGTAAAAACACAGGTAGGTAAAGGTTCCCCTTGACATTTAGTCCACTCATGTCCGACTCTAGGGTGCGGTGCTCATCCCTATCTCCAAGCCGTTGAGCTAGCGTTTGTCCATAGACAGTTTCCGTGGTCATGTGGCCAGCATGACTAGACACAGAACGCCGTTACCTTCCCACTGTGGTAGTACCTATTTATCTACTTGCATTTACATGATTTCGAACTGCTAGGTTGGCAGGAGTCAACGCAGGAGTCAAGGAGAATAAGAAGACGTGGCAATATTGGAAACATAAATCTAAATGAATATATAGAGCATTTCCAGATAGAGTTCCTAACAATACCAATGAAAATACATTATGTGGTTATACTGTTGGGTTTCCCCTCTTTTTAAATGACATAACAGGCTTTTTGTATAGTAATGAGGAAATGGTGGGAAAACACAAGAAGATTAGATATCATTCATGAAATTCTGAGCTATTGCATAATAAAAGCTCTACATGGAAGGATCTAAAGACACTATTAGGCTTACCAAAAGTACTCATAAAAAAACATCAGAGATACACAAAGAAGGAATGTACCCTTACCAACTTTCTTGCAAAATACTCCTCATATACATCACAATGTTATTATTGCTTAATATCTCTCATTTGGTTGTTTAAAAGCAAATGTTTAATAGACCATCCTGTTTTATAGTGATTTCCTAGGGGCTTTAAATCAGGATACAGTATTAATGTTGTAGGCAGTTGAGGAGTTAGAAATGATGTCCCAGCAGGTATTTTTAATGTCTTTAATTACTGTTTTCTCTAGGCTCTGTTCAGATAAATTAGGGGCTAATTTTAGACTAGTTTGAGAGTATAGTGTCTAGGTGGTAAATATTGTGAGAAAATACTGGAGTGATCAATCTGAGTGAGTAGGTAAGGGCTCAACTACACTGCAATGTGTCTCATGATTGTGGTGCAGTTGTCACTGTCAATTTTGAGTTATTTTCTATCAACTACACGACATAAAGTTTACGACAAGCATTTCCAGTCTTTTTCTATGGTCAGCTGATACATCTTGTTTGGTTGGCAGGGGATAATACTTTTTGTGGTGATTTCACACGTATCTTTTTGTTTTGGTTTCTGGCATTTGTGTTTGCCTATATTTGTCCAAAGGGGCAGTGGCAGGTGTGCCCTACGTGATTTTGACGTTGATGTCTTCAGTGTGGTGTGATGCAATAGTACAGCAGGAACATTTCCATCTAATAAGGACTTCTCTTGCCCTGAGGAAACAATTATATCTTTTAAAAATGGTTGTCAAGTGTTCCACCAGTTAAGCACTGCAGCAATGACTCATAACTGTTTTGATAAGTACTTTTGTGGAGAAGGGAATAAAGGCTACTGTCTTTTAAGTCGCTGCAGGGAGATATTATAATTTGCTGGATTGTAGGCATTCTGCATTGACTTGCAAGGAATCCAGTGCCAAATCCTAACAAGGGCAAGACTGTCCAATCAGCTATCTCAACAAGTTGCCTGAAGTGAGACCTTATGGCTTAAGAGGTCTGAAGATCTTTGAATTGTTGGTTGCAGGGCGGCACCATGCTTCATTTAATTGTTCCTTTATTTTATTAAACATTCTCCTTTAATGTGGACAAAGGTGCCCCATTGGCTGGACAGTTGACCCAATGTCACCCCCACAAGAGGAAAAAAGGGTGGAGGGAGGGAGCCATTGTCTCTCCTGTATCTCATTGGATTGCTGGTTGGTGCCCACTCCCTACCCACATCTGCTGCTTCCTCCCAGGCAATCCCCACTCTTTCTACTCTAAACTGTTTGCCAGAGGTGGGCAACATGGATTTTGCAGGCTTCTTTCTCTTTCTTTTCCCACTTTCCCCAACCCCTCAAGGTGAAGGATATGGAAACATCATTGGTTGAAGCATTTCCAGCCCACACACACCCTTCATGGGCTGTAGCACCTACCTTACTTTCTCCAGGCCTCTTCTGCCACTGCAGCACAGCTCAGCTGAATAGGACAGTAGATTGCCTGTGGTCTACTCTCTGCCCGAATGCTTCCTGGGAAGCGTAAGGTGTTGTGGGAAGTGTAGTTCTTTGAGGATTTCCTATATCAGTAGTCCCATATCTTTTTTGAACCACGGACCAGTTGGGGGTGGGGTTGTGCATGGGGGCAGGGCAACCCCATGCTCACAATTGAGTGGGGCGTTCTCGTGGATGGGATAGGCGCACTCGTGTGCATGCACAGATGGGTGGGATGTGCTCACGCACTTGCGGGTGGACCGGGCTTGCGCACATGCGTGGATGGGTGAGACATGCTCATGTTCATGCGCAAATGGGTGGGGTACACTTGTGGATGGGCTGGGCACACTCGATGCATGCATAGATGGGCGGGGTGTGCTCGTGAGCATAGGCTGATGGGTGGGGCGCTCGCACACATGCACGGATGCACAGGGACACTCACGTGCATGTGTAGATGACCAGGACGCACTCACACACATGCGCAGATGGGCGGGGGCTGACACGCCTGTGCCGATGGGCAGGGCACTCTCACGGATGGGTGGGGTATGCTAATGCTCATGCATGGACGGGTGGGGCACACTCGTGGGTGGGCAGGGCACCCATGCGTGCAGGTGGGTGCATGTAGGGGGGTGGGATATCTGTCTCTACGGCCCGGTCCTGCCATGGCCATGGACCGGCACCAGGCTGCGGACCAGAGGTTGGGGACCCCTGCCCTATGCATCACCCATGGACAAGAAAGCTACACTTCCCCCAATAATGTAAGCCTCCCAGGAAGCACCAGGCCAGGAAGTAGGCCCAGACAGCCTACTGTCCAACTCAGCTGGGCTGCGGCGGCAGCAGCAGCGGAGGCTTGGAGCCAGTAAGGTGGGTGCTGGGGGACAAGAGGTGTGGGCTTTCTAGAGGGAGAATGAATTGAAATGGCAACAATGAAAATGTTCGGCATTTTGTTTCACTTCATCAAAATGCAGTTCCCTAAAACGAACCAGGGACGGCCTGGTTTGTGGGGGGTTTTGGTTCATTTCATGCCCGTCTCTAGTGGAGTCTGATATCATTCAGATAAACTAAAGAAAGAAATCTGAAGATGCTGACCACAGAGACTGGCAAAACATCAGGAAGAAAAACCTTCAGAACACGGCCAAAGGGCCCCAAAAAACCTACAACAAGCATTGGATCCCGGCAGTGAAAGCCTTCGAGAATAGAAACAAAGAAAGCTTGTCAGAATTACATAAGGCTATTTCAAGGGAAATAGTTTAATATCTTCTAAATATAACATTGCATGGTCTAATGGCATTCTCCCCATTTTTGATAGGATGACGTCCCACTGCGGAGGGGAAGAAAAACAACTAAGAAGCGTGAGGAGGAAGTGGATATTGACCTAGATGATCCTGAGATTAATCACTTCCCTTTCCCCTTTCATGAGCTGATGGTGTGGGCTGTGCTGATGAAGCGTCAGAAGATGGCCCTCTTCTTCTGGCAACATGGAGAGGAAGCCATGGCTAAGGCTCTAGTGGCCTGTAAGCTTTGCAAGGCCATGGCCCATGAAGCTTCCGAGAATGATATGGTAGATGACATCTCACAGGAGCTAAATCACAATTCCAGGTTGACCATTTAATGCATTAATATATAGCTGCTTCAGTTTATTTCACACTAAAACTAGGCTATCGCAGCCACACATAACAAAGAGTTTTGCAATGCTTCCCAAAAGGACTTAAATGTTCATTATAGTGGCTAAAGAAAATAGTTATTCTGATCATTATGGGATAACTACTGAGAGGATCTTCTGAAACATGTTTGCTCTTAAACCATGATAGAAGCATTCTCAGTGTCCTTGTGAACATACTGTAAAGAGGGTGTCATTTTTCAGTTATTCATAAAGGCTCAGTGCTTATATGGCTGAAAATAGTACCTTGAATTGTGTCCTAAAAGTAATGGAAAGGTGATGCAGATGCTAGAGCACTGGAGGGATGCTTTCTTGTAACCTGACATCAATGAGCTCCTAGCTTTTTTTCTGATCAAAGGTCTAAGTCAGTTCACTGACTGAAAAAAAGGATGTTGGTAAGACTGAATTCCAGACATACATGCAGTCATAAGGGTAATTAGAAATCATGTATATTTCCCTTCTTAAGTATTCTCTGACAGCCAGAGTAGAGCTGTGGCTAATGCATCAGACTAGGACTTGGAAGACCTGATTCAAATCTTTGCTCAACAATTAAAAACTCACTTGGGTTGATGGTGGCAATGGTAAAACCGCTCCTTAAATATCACACATATCCTGGAAACCTACTACGATTTCCATATATCAAAATTAAGTAGATAGCACATAACATACAAGGTTTCCATAGGAAATGTGATTTTTCATAGACAAGTAATAGGGAACATGTTACTTCAGATGTGAGTAGCTATCTGAATAACCAGGAAAGTAAAGGAGTCATGTACGAGCTAAGACTGAAATTATGAAACTCAGTGTGGTGCCTAACCTGGAGTGCCAATATTTGAAAATTCTCATGCCATCTTGGTCGGGTTTACCAGGGGGTGACCTAGTCATTGCAGCAGAAACTGTTTTCAGTCATTTTCATTCCATGTAACAGATTGCATAAGCTAACCAAAAAGTACTGTCTTGCAGGGATTTTGGCCAGCTGGCAGTGGAGCTGTTGGACCAATCGTACAAGCAGGATGAGCAGCTGGCAATGAAACTGCTGACCTATGAGCTGAAGAACTGGAGTAATGCCACATGCCTGCAACTTGCAGTGGCAGCCAAGCATCGAGATTTCATTGCTCACACTTGCAGCCAAATGCTACTCACAGACATGTGGATGGGGAGGCTCCGGATGCGTAAAAATTCAAGTCTAAAGGTTAGGATTGCTCTCAAAATCAAAGAGTAGTTCACATTTGAGAGGAAGATCACAGTGAATTAGCTGTAACTGGTTTAGTGATGTAAAGCAGTGGAAATGCCATGCCTTGTTCCATACAAAGCATACACACTATATATTTTCCATTTCAAAAAGTGGCCGACCAACCCATTTTGAAGTTTCAAGGATACCGTGATGTTAGGGAGGGCCCTGTTGCCAATTACCGCATCATCCCTGTCACTGCCCAGTCACTGGGTACAATAGCCACTTGCTATCATTTTGAAACTTACATGTGTGAACATCAGATTCCTAGCTCACAAGATTATGTGTAAGTTGAATCTAAATGAGCAATTGGCATAACCCTAACCTTTTAATTGTGGTGATTATTGTTATCATTATTATTGCTTTAGGTAATTCTAGGAATTCTACTTCCTCCTTCAATTCTCAGCTTGGAGTTCAAAAACAAAGATGACATGCCTTACATGTCCCAAGCTCAAGAGGTCCAGCTTCAAGAGAAAGAGTCAGAGGAACCAGAAAAGCCAGTGAAAGAAAAAGAAGAGGAGGACATGGAGCTCACAGTAAGGGACAAACACTACTGGAAGTGCTCTGTATTGTCATGATTTCCTTTATTTACTGTTGGAAAGTTCAGTGCTTTTAGGGAGTGCAATCCATCAAGCATTCTGCTGGGAGTCCCCAAGTCAACCATTGCTGAGTACAGTGGTGCCTCGCTTAATGACGATAATCCGTTCCAGGAAAATCACAGTTAAGCGAAAACATCGTAAAGCGAAATAAAAACCCCAATTGAAACACATTGAAACCTGTTCAATGCGTCCCAATGGGGTAAAAACTCACCATCCAGCGAAGATCCTCCATACGGCGGCCATTTTCACTGCTTGTATAGCGAGGAATCCGTCCCTAAACACAGCGGGGAGCCATTTTAATTACCCGGTGGCCATTTTGAAACTGATGATCAGCTGTTGGAAAAACATCGTTTTGTGAAGAATTGGTTCCTGAAGCAGGGAACGGATTATCGCAAAGTGAAATTCCCCCATTTAGACCATCGTTTTGCGATCGCAATTGCAATCGCAAAAAGATTGTCGTAAAGCAGATTTGTCATAAAGCGGGGCAATCGTAAAGCGAGGCACCACTGTATAAGCAGAGCTGAGTGATCTGTGCCCAGGAAGAGTACGAACTGCTAGCTACATCATTTATACTTTTCTTTTGCGAAAATGTGAATACTTACCATGTCACAATAAGCATGCACATTTAACACTGGCTACATCTTGTACACAGTAATGCTTGAAGACACTGTGATGGTATATCACACTTTTGTAAAGGACTCTTATTTATACAATGGGTAGAGGAGAATTATGGAAAGCACAGACATATATTACTTAAAGATAGTGCCAAAACACCAGGAGTATTGTCTATTATTATTTCAGTGGCTAAATGAAATATAAACATGGGCATAACATGAGTTGCAAAATACTCAGTAATAATACTGGAGTAATATTTTACATAATGTGCCAAGACTTATTAGTTACACCTGAAGATGTAACACCAATGCCATAACTTTATGTGGTGAATTGCATCAAGTCAAGAAATTACTGTAGACCACTGGTTCTTAACCTTTGTTATTCAGATGTTATTGGACTGGAACTCCCAGAAGCCTTCACCATCAGCTCTGCTGGCTGAGGTTTCTGGGAGTTGCAGTTCAAAAACACCTGAGTAACAAAGGTTAAGAACCACTGCTGTAGACAGTATTTATTTGCTGAGTTGCATGACTCAGCACACTACAGATAACATCTATGGTGATTTCTTTATTTGAAGAAACTGGCCTCTTGAATCATACAACATTTTCCTAATTCTTTCTGACCTCCAAATTTTACATTGTTTGTGTTATGCTGGTATAAAATCCCAACAGGATTTTGACCGTTGCCATTTATCATTTTGTTATTCCTAGATTTAAATTGTTTAAAGAAGTTTTAAAAACTCAAGAATCCATTTCTGGGTAGATGTCTCTGTTAAACCTGTTTTCTGACACCATCAAAGGGTAACAAAAAGAAGTGCACATTGTTCAGTCATGTAAGCAAATAGTCAAATATATCACTTGTTACCACTGTAGTACTTATCAAACAATTTGCATTTATTTCCAACCCATTTTTACTATTCATATACAATCTAAAATAACATCTGTGTGAAACTCAGGCTAAAACAATAAGACCAAAAACTCTTGACCAGTTTTCACGTAAATCTGGCACACTCACTAAACAGAGGTGCAACAGATCTTGCAGTGCTTTGAAGACAGGCTTAGGTTCAGGATTAGGCAGGTCTCCAGGAGGTATTCTCAAATCAATTAAACTGAAGAGGGTAATAAATGGCTACAAGGTACCATTATATTTCACTTCATGATAGCTCTCATTTAATATTTTAGAGGCTGGGTGTTTTAAATGTATTTAGGAGTCTGCATTGGTTATCTATTGCCACTTGTGTACTGTAAAAGGGACTCCTCACTCCCGATTTCTAGGGTTTTGAGTCACATATTGTGGTTATGAAACACCATAGAAATTATTTTCGCAAATAGGCTAAGGAATCATTTTTATATGAGATTTAAGATATTGTGGGTTTTGTGATTTCTAGGGTTTTGAGTCACATATTGTAGTTATGAAACACCATAGAAATTATTTTCACAAAGAGGCTAAGGGATCTTTTTTTTATATATGAGATTTAAGATATTGTGGGTTTTGACTGAAAGCTGAACTACATAGCCTTTCTGAAACCATTCCATTTTTGTGAATCTGCAGAAACTAGGGATTATTATAGCTACTGCTGTTCCTGAAGATCAGTCTATGGTTTTGAAGACTGACTTCTGCTACTATCCTTTATGACTGACAGCTGCATATTTTTCTTCTTATTTATTTTTCCCATTTTGATTTGCTTTCCTTTAAAACACATGGAAGCATACATTAAACAATTATTGCTTATCGTAACAAACACTGTAATATCAGTGAGAAGACTTTAAAACTTTGTCGTGCTAATTTAAATGCTAATTTGTGAATGAATATATGGCATATGAAAGGGAGAATCAAACCCCTTAACATCTCACTCCAGGTTCACTGCTGTCATCATCACAACTACTGTTCGGTTTTCCTGTACTCATGCTCCATTTGGAGAGAGAGCTACAGTATTTTTAAGAAAAGGTTTGCTTTATTACATTTTGTTTAAAATGAGGCTGTTCCCTACAGGCGCTCAGCAGGAGCTGCCCCCATGATCTTACCTGCGGGCAAATAGAAAGCTCTGCCTACAACAAGAACCAAAATGCAGGGAAGCAGAAGACTCTAGGCACAAGATCAGCCTACAGGACCACTATGCAGGCAAGATCCTGGACACTGTCAAAACAGGAAAAGAAAGATCATAAGCCAGCATAAGTCTGATAAAGTTGCTTTCTTCTGATGTGAGCGTGTTCTTCTTTAATTACATTTAGTTACTGCTGGCTTCTGATCAATAAATGAAGTGCTTATTCAAACCCAATAAGCACAGCTTGTTTCCTGGGAATACAGTGTACTGAATAGTAACTGCCCACCATAATTCTCTGATGCCTTTCCTTTTCAAGTACCATGTGCTCCTCTAGTAAATTCCTGGCCTGACAATGTAGAAACGCAGGCTGCTGTAATTCATTGTCTTCTCCATTCAGAAATGGTGTGACCTCCCATGTTCTCTCCTCTCCAACCTCTGGCAGTGTTCATCATCTTCTACCTGTGTTTTCCCCCCTCCACCCAACACTAGGCTTGCTAACAAAAAAGGATATCTGAGGATCCTGTGTTTGATCAAACTTGACACAGTTCAACAGTAAACAACCAAGGAACTTTCAGATCCAGCAAAGATAATCTTGGTTCTGTCTGCTGTTGTAAATTTACCATTTCACAGCCTACCAAGATGTAAATGGTGTTCTTGTGCAAACATAAAGTGCACGTCTGACAGAGAAAAAACAAAATGTATACTGTTGACTGGAAAAAGAGGTGGGGAAACAAATGTACTGAGCAATCAGGGAGACTAAGTATGAAAGGCAAGCTGTAAAGAAAGCAGGAAGGAGTAGGCTGGAAAACATGAACTTCAGGATGTAGTGGGTGATCAGGGCTTGCAGAGTATCCATTCAAGCTGGCCTATTGCCAGGTTGTATGTAGGCTTACAACCAGCATTCAGGAATGAACACTGCAAACTACGGTGCCAAACAGCTTCCTTCCCCACAAACTGCAGCACAATACAGCTTCCTCAAAGTTACTGATAGGTGCTTTACATATTCTTGCATGATTCACTCTAATTCATGATGAATCATACTTAAGCTGCAGATCAGAAATCAAAAGCCACCTACATGCATATCAGCCTTCTGGTACATTATCTTCCTTTTCCATCTTTTCTGCCTTCTCTCACTGAGAATGGTCAGCTCTTTGTGAATTACTTTCTCTTCTGCAACACTGTGAATAAGGGGATGTTTGGAATTTGCAGCCATAAAAAAAAACATTCCTGGTATTCGGTTTAAGCTGCTCACCTAAAACTTAAAAGAATTTCAAAATGGGTCTTTCTCTGCTTATGTGATTTCCGCTCAGTGTTCTGTGGTCATTGCAGAGCAATTATAGCATAACAACAAAGAAAAAGAGTAAAAAAAAAATCAGGAGGCTAGAAAAAAAGGTCTGAAGAACAAATCAGACTGAGTTTGGCTTTTCATCACATTTTCCATGCATCTTTTAAAATGCAAAATGGAAATGGAAAACAATCAACCTGCCACATTTTTCAAAAGTATAAAAGTGCATCTTTCATCCAAAATGTACTTCTGGCTGTTTCTAGAATTAAAAAGAACAAAAAACACTGTTCCAGATCTTTTAAAACTGTAAAATAACATTTGCAACATATCATTCCTACCATAAATCTGTAGAATAATTCTCACCACTATCAATAAGTAAAGCATCAAATTCTGATCAGGTCCTAACATGTTAACAAGTCAGATCATTTCTTCTCCTCTTTGGAGTGCACATTTTAAGCTGAAGATGACTTGAACTAAGAATTTGAATTGTGGTCATTCTCTTGAGCTGCTCAACACTTGATTTGTCACCCCAGAAAGTATTTGGTTCTTCATTGTCCAGTACTCTGGGCAAGAAGCCTCTTCGCAACCCAGCACCTTACATCTTTCCTTACTTATAGTGTTACTGTTTAGAGTACTGTATATGTGAGTGGTGATGCTTTGTGATGTTGCCCCAGAGTAGATTTGTATCTACAAATAATTTATCAGACTGAAAATTGGAAAAGAAGCCATATTAATTGGGGGAAAACTAATTGGTAGAAGTTCATTTTCAGTAGTTAATGCTCAACTTGTAAACCAAGTCAAAGATCTTTTGTGGGTTTTTTCTCAATCTAATTTGTTGCATATAGGTAAGGTTGTTAAAAAGGTAGCAACTCCAGAAACCCCTAGAGGATGCGTCCCTACTTGATCCTTTCCAGTCCAGCTTCCGATCTGGCTATGGTACTGAAACAGCTCTTGTGGCTCTGGTACATGGTCTGAACAAGGGAGAATCATCCATGT